TTTATCTCTTTCATCACAAGCGAGGGTAAGTTATGGATTCACAGTCTTACTGAGACTTGCACTTGAGAATCCGAGTCATGTCTTGGATCTGCAGCATGCTGACTTGCACAGCGTCGGAGAAATGTCAGCAAGAGAAACGCAAGACCGTTAATGGCGAAGACATCCTCTTCGCCATGACGTCTCTTGGTTTCGAGAACTATGCGGAAGCGCTGAAAGTTTACCTCAGCAAGTACAGAGAGGTAAGTCAAGTATTCTACCAGCAGGGACTCCGGATCTATTGAGTGAATGACTTGCAGGTATGCTCCTTGTAAGCTTTTTCGCTTGAGGAATCTGTACCGAGTAGCGAGAGAAGTGTTTAAGGATCCTTGTATGATTCAGTTGCTAACGCGAATCACCAACAGCAACAGAATCAGTCGAACCGCGATCGAGTGGGGATCGATACTAATTCACAATGGATAAATGATGCCAAAACAGAGCCTAGTGCCGTGGGCGAGTTTGGACAGGACGGAAACGGCGTCGAGGCTGGGGGTGATCCCAACTACATTTATGCCTCACAACCTGGCCACAATGGCAACGCCGGCGAGGGCTACTAAAACACTGCCTGCAATGAGGAGCGGACGACGAAGCATGGCCCCAACAGCGATCGGACCAACGTCCCCTCCAATGGTTCTTCTTACCAGCGGCAGCATATCCCTCCTGAACAGCACAGGCTCATCATATCGGTTGCGAGTATTAGCTCAGTGAACGGTATCGACAGCAATTCAATCATCTCAAACGCTGCACTTTACCGCAAGTGTACTTTTGTTCACAAATAGCTATCGTCCAGGATATGGGTGTGGACTTCAGAAACAATGGCAGACTTACGTGGTGTGAGGTGGTGTTGAGGACGGTATTGTAGGGAAGGGCAGGGAGCATATATGGGAGATATGACTGGGTTGATTGGGTTTGTGTTCAGAGATAGAGGTGCAATTTGCGTCTGGTACTTACCTGCAAGCGTGGGAGCAGTCCCAAAATGATTAGTGTTAATAATCACGACAGTCAGAAAGGGTCTTTGAGATGCAGACTAACGGATATGCATTGAGTCCAGAGGCAAGGAGTTTTGGGTAGTAGTTTTCAGATAAATGAACCCCCCACATTCTGTTTACTTCAATATGCGTCTAAGTGTTTGAGACTATAGCTCTTGTTAATGTTTTGGCAGTGTGGTGATGGCATGAGCTTTGAATGCAAAATGGCAGTTCGTGGATGGCGTTGTCTCATGACTCGAGAAAGAATGAATCATTTATTTAAGAAGTTGTGATCACAAGCGAAACTCAGCGGGTTTCCCGCAATCATGTAAGGGTCAATGACCAATATCAATGCGAAATCGACGCAGTGATTAAGAACAACAGTTGCAATGCATGAACTGAGGTTGACTTCAATATCAAGTGTGACGTAATCACTAAAGATACAGCACCTTTCCCGATTCGGAAGAGGATATGAGGCACGTGTGGTCTCCACCAAAAATCGTCGAAAAATTGGGTCCCGACAGAAATTGGGAAAAAAGTTCCAATGGCCACCAGCGCTTAACAATTGACCCTCGAGATTTCTTCATTATCGCTTCCACAAGGCAAGAAAAGAAAACCGAGCTCTCCATCTTCCGGCACTTGTGCTGTTGAGACTTGCTTATTATGACTACGGATTCTTTACGGTCAAAATTTCAACATACTCTCCAGTTCATGATCATACCTTGATTGCCCACCCGAAGCACCCCTCTCTCTGTTGTTGCCTGAGAGACGCCACCATCACTTCGAGTCAACTATACTCCCCTCATCGAGCGACAGCGCACAACGAAGCAAGACATTGTCAAACACTTAGTGGGGCCTATATCAATGAGACCCTTTACGCCTACGACCAGGAAGTTCTCTGGTCCTGTTCCAAGGAGTTCCACGCCTGTCCGCTCCATCCTCAAACCTGCATCTGTCTTGGGGAGGAGAAAGGCCGAGTATGCTGGACTGAGCGACCCCGTCGACGCACCCGAGAGCCCCACGAAACGCCGCAAAATCTTGATAGACGAAACCCGAAACGTGACGTACGAAGTCGGACTACGGACGATGGATGAGGTGAAGCTCGAAGTCAGGACTGCCCTTGAAGAGCACCTGAGAGGAAACGACAGCCAATACGACACATTGAAGGAACTCTTTGCCAGCGACAAGCAGCGGTACCTACCACCCGTCGTTGGAGAGGAAGATGATACCCTGAAACCCCACGAACTCCAGGTTTACGTGGTGGCTCTCACTGGATGTGTCCCCATTCTCAAGAACAGGCTCTGTAATGGTCTCGTTCACACTGTTCTAAATTGCTCCTGGCTTGGACGAGACGATGCCTTCGTGAAAGTGTTCACTCATTTCCTAGCGGCCCTGGTCAGCGCCCAGGGTTCGTATCTGTCACCGGTTTTGGCGATGATGGTGGGGAAATTCTGCGACAGTCGATCTTCCGTGTGGAGTGTCCCGGATTTCCCTGAGATCAGCCGTGAGACCATGCGCAATCGACTGCACAGCACCCTGCAGTACTTGCTTCAGATGTTTCCTTCCGCAATCTCAGTGCTCGAGGAGCTCCTCGTGAGCAAGTTGCCTTTCCACAACGAGTCCATGCGTGTACACATGGCGTATGTCGACAACCTTCTTCGTATCAAGGACTATGCGCCCGACTCGCGTGACGAAGTTTTTGATATTATCCTGAAACGAGTTGTCCAGATCGACTCTCAGATGCAAACCGACCTGGAAGATCTCGATGATGATGTAACTGCTGCCGTCATGTACGCGCTGCGCGAACACTCAGAAGGAGACGCGTGGGAGAATGACGACGATAACGACGACGAGAGCGATGCGGATTCGGTCCATAGCGACGACCCCGATTTCGACGAAAATGTCGCCAGAATCAAGTCGATCAAGGGAAGTGTTGAAAAGATGGATGCCATGATGGACACCCTGTTCAGCGTCTATACTCCTCACTTTACCAACCCTGGGTCAGACACGGCCTTCGACATGTTTACTGTCCTATTACGCGAGTTTGAACAGCTGGTGCTGCCCACATACAAGTCTCGACACACGCAATTCCTTATTTTTCATTTTGCTCAGATGCATGAGCGCCTCACAGACGCATTCTGTGGCCAGCTAATTGCCACTGCGTTTCAGGGCAACACGCCCAACGTTCTCAAGCAATCTGCCGCAGCATATCTCGCCAGTTTCGTGGCTCGTGGCGCCCATCTACCAAGCGGCCTGATCCGAAGTATCTTTGGACTTCTTTTACATCACTTGGACCAGTACCGCAAGAAATATGAACCCTTATGCCGGGGACCAGACCTGATGCGATTCACGCCATACTACAGCCTCGTTCAGGCAACACTCTACATATTCTGCTTCCGCTGGCAGGACTTGATCGTATCGACTCCGGAGTTTGTGGACCCCGAGGATCCAGCTTCATACATTGGTCAGGAGATGGAGTGGATGGGAACATGCAGAAAAGACCTTTCCGTGCAGATCTTCAGCAAACTCAACCCTCTCAAGGTCTGTGCGCCCGTAATCGTCGAGGAATTCGCCAAGATCTCACATCGTCTCAATTTTATGTACGTCTATCCGTTGGTGGAGAGCAACAAACGTGTTCGCTTGACGCAATATCTCACGGCCACCTACTCGACAGGAGGAGCCCTTCGAGATGCTGGATATGAGACGCAAGATGAGAGCTTCCACCAGTTAGACCCTTATTTCCCATTCGACCCTTATCAGCTGCCGGTTAGTAAAAGGTGGCTCGAGAACGATTACGTGCATTGGAAGGCGGTGCAAGGGCTGAACGCCGAGGACGAGGACGACAGCGACGATGACATTGATGACGATATTGATGAGGACGAGATTGAGGAGGGCACAGCGACGGATAGCGATGGTGAAGATTATGAATAGAGACGTGGCATAGTGATTTACGACGGGAGCATGGTTTGCGATTTGTGATTTCCAAAACACAGCAAGGCGTTGGGGAGGATTTGTTTGATTTACAAAGGCTTGGTTCTATACCCGAGGGTTCGGATGTGAAACGATCTCGAAAGTTACCATGAGATGAGAGCGAGTTATGGAATGCGCATACACTCTTCTACCTAGACAGCGAGCAGAAAAGGAAAAGTTTGCAACCCTAAGATGTATAGTATCCCTTTACAGTTTTGTGTCACCATTCATTTGTGTTTGTAATCATTGTGTATGACTATCAATACCATCTCCGCGGAAGCGATGTAGGAGAAATCGTCAGCGAGGTCACAAAGCGGCCCTTCAGTTCTCAGTCAGAGTGCTAAGTCGGTACCTAAGGTACCTATACTACGGGAGGAAAGAAAACTCAGGTCCTTGATCCTAAATAATAAAAAGAGACATGTAAATTAGTCCAAGCTTTGGATATCTTTGCCAAGTTTAGGATGCCTTTTGCTAAGTTTATTTTAATGTCTTATATCAAAATCTGATATTTTCTTGCTCCCTGAGGCTATAACCCACAGGCGGCAGAAAACCTTGGCCTATAGGCATTAGTTAGTTGGCTTGCTGTCTGATCAGTTTATTTTCTTGCCTTAATGAGAGGTCTGAATGCATGGGAGAACTTGGAGCCGAAAGACCTCTCGGAATAGGCAGAAAAACTCCGATTTGGCTCGTGACTCGACGACATGTCTTTTTTTCTTACTTGCATATTCTTTGGATCTTCTCTCCCTCTCTTCCTCCCTCTCTTATCAAGAATATTCCATTATTTATTAAAGAATCTTTTCTGCTCTGACGGTGGTTTCATGTCAGGCTATTTTTAGTTCCTTCCGTCCCATCTACCGAACTCGCACGGGACATATTCCGTTTCGAGATTTAATCCGCCCGCGCTTACTTATCCCAACGTAACACTTCGAAACCCACTCAAACTTTGAGACTCAAGTCATTAAAGTGGACTCATTCTCCAACTTACATACAAAAGCCTCCTGCAACAAATTGCCATCTAATCACGTCATGGCAAATACAGCTACAGCTGCAGCAGACGAGAGACCTTCTTTTACCGAGTTTCTCAAAAAGACTAAGCAAAAGGTCGCTGGAACGCCATGTGAAGGCCCCGACTGTCCCACGTCCCAGCGGAGGGGGAGGAAGAGTAGAGGCAGCGTTGGGATGAGCAGCGAGTGTAAGTATAGAGCGTGCCCTCGTTATCTTTCTGTGTGATTTCTGTCGATATATTTCGTCTGTCCGCTTGATTCCTTTAAGGTCCGGTTCAGTGACAGGCCACTCTTCGACTTAGAATCTCAGACAGTCGTGCAAGACATCTCACATCTCACATCTCACATATCACCAAGACACCACTAACACCCCACCAGCACCCGAAAACAGTAGTGAAACTTCACCCCAGAAATCTCGCAAGTCTCTTACCGCAACTGAGAAAGCAAAGCTGCGCCGGACCCAGGTCCGACGGGCTCAGATCCAGCATCGCCAACGCAAAGCAGAATATCAGAAACAACTCGAGCTCGACATCACTCACTTCCGTGAACTTATCGCCTTAACGGAATTTGAGTCTGAACAACTCAAAAAGGACAATGACTCTATCAAAGAACTATTGACGAATAAAGGCGTCACTATCCCAAGATGCAAGTCTGGTACCTGCTCTATACGTCCCCGTCTCACGAAGGAGTTGGTTGCTGGCGACAATGATGCTTGGGTCGATGACACGCTGGGCGTCAAGTTGAGGGCCGAGGATCCTACTTTTCAAGAATTCGATCAAGATGGCGGAGAGATATTTGCCGATATCAACGTCGACGACATTATTGTTACTCTAAAGAAGGATGAATCGATGGAGACGCCAGCTTTCAGTATCCGATCAAACGAGTCAAGCAGCAACGCTACTAGTTCGCCACCACCCTTACCCGATCTTAACCTGACTCCTGATGAGGAGCAAAAGGCTGTCAACTTTATTCTCTCGTAAGTTCATACTGAAACTCATACTGCATGGTGGATGTTGTCATGGTCTCGCTGACATTTCACAGACTTGAACATATCTGTTGGGATCACTTCTTCGTTGGCGATTTCCCATCCCACTCTCACCTCTCCAACGACGAACCCAAAGGCCATTGCCTCATGGCGTCTTCACTCTGCATGGCTAACGCACCTTTGGATGTATTTGGTGACCGCAAGCTAGTCTCTTCAGCATCATCTTGCCACAATCGTCGTTCTCTCGGATTGGATCCTTACGTACCTCCCGTGCACCTGGAGTGGCCATCTCCCCGAATATCATTATCCTCCCTTTATGGTCTAGCACAGAGTCTCAACCCCGGCGACTTGGAGATCACACCTGTACAAGCCTGGTTCGAGCTAGCGTCACGCTTCGACAAGAGTCTTTTGCTGGAAAGGCTAGACTTACTAGGCACAGAACTTGTTGGCGTATCCAAGTGTCTGGAGTTCGGGGCTGTTATGGAGAAAGACGCTTTCGAGAGTGTTGTTGCGAGGGTGTACGGAGGCACTCTTGAAGAAGCCATGGCTGCCGCTGCGATTATTGATCCACACCTCGGCAGTGTTTGCGATATTTCTCGCATGAGGAATTTCCAGGCTAACCTTCTCACGAACCAACTAGGATTCGTGGGATATGCTCAGAGCTGAGGTGTTCTGTAGCCAGAGGCCGAGGGTTTTTGTATTGGGTCCAGGGTTTTCGTTTTCTTGTTTTGTCCCTTTTCAAACGGCTGAACGGAGATGAAGCCGAGCACTTCAAGGCACAATATCGAGATGCCTCGTTGTAGGTCTAGAGTATCTCGGGGTTTGGTTTCACGAGATATCATTTTGCACAGTGGCCGTCAAGGCTTGACATGTTTTGAACCTACTTGCATATGCTTAGGACAGTTGACTCTCTTTTTGGATCTTGCTTTTGATTTTTCAACAGATAGGTCGCTAGAGAATATCCACTCTATGAAACCATCTTCCCGCTATTATACATGAGTTGTCATCTCTACAATGCCCTGACTATACTCCTCTCATCAAAAATATCCTTCAACAAGCTTGAGATGCAGGCATCTCGATCAACTCGGCCCATTGCGTAAGTAGACTCAAACGCAAAGATGCTAAGCTGTCCAAAGAAGGGCCGGAGTACCTTCGCTACTAGCTCATCCTTTCTATCGAGGCTGACATTATCATTAATGCCACCTGGTCCGAGAAGGGGTCGTCGAGATGAGCCACGGGCCACTGGGTTGACAACGGAAGATGATTGGAAGCCCGAGCTATTGACGGAAGCCCCGAGCTCGTCAGATAGCTCGTCTACAAGGGCTACAGGTTGATAGGTGGATGGCCGATACACGGCATCGATAGTGTCAGTGATGAAAAGCCATTCGTGAAGCTGGAAATCATCCGGCGCCACACAGATCAAAAGATCTAAAAGCTTACAGGCCTGCAAGACTGAGGCATTGGTGTAAGTGTCAGAAGCAGTGCTGTTATCGGGTGCAGCAACAGAAGAGATTGCTGCATGAATCTCAGCGTTGACAACTGGCCATAGCATGCCTAAATGGATAGCACTAGTTCTCAGAGCCAGTGCACGGAATACCATGTAGATATCCGCTCTTGTAGTTGATGATGGCGAGGATGTTGACGATGCGCCCAAAAGCTCAGCCAGTTTGCTAAATATCTCCGACAGATCCGAAACGAATGCATCTTCAGAGCCCGCAAGAATCAATGTGGCAATTCTCCGGAGGTTGAGTTGCGTCTTGCGATCAGCTTCGAGGCGAGCTGAAGTTGCTCCAACGCCAAACACAATCCCGGCTGTCGAAGGGGCACTAATACGACCCACCATCTCTGGCATCTTCTCCTTGTCCGTAAGAGTCCATTGTCTTAACAAAGGCAGCCAGTCTTCCTTGGCCAAATCAAGATCCATGCCAAAGAACTTGGGGTCGTTAAAAGCATCACCGACATCCTTCTTCCAATTCTTCTGGTTATTGTGGACTCGTGATAACTCGTGTAGAAGACACATCGTGTTCTTCGATACTATATCAGGGAATCCTTTAGCCCTCAAGGTTGGTCCAATAACATTAGTAGAGATAGTGGTCGCAGCAGAGAGGACCCTGTCAGGTTCAACCAAGATTTTTGTCAGCTTTGGAACGATAGAGGCCAATATAGAGATGATGTCATCTGGCCCTTCACTGGCTCCGTTCAAGGAGTTCCCAGAGTCGGATTTAGGAATACCACTGCCCCATGATGTTGAGTCTGTGAACGCCACAGGTCTTGTAGTGAAAAGAGCAGCAAGGAGACGGATGAAAGTGTCCTGCAACGATGTTAGCAACCACGCAGGTTATAAATGAGGACATAACATACCCCTAACTCCTTTCTCATCCTCCTCTGTTCTCCAAAGTTGGTGTTGTCAACTTTCTCACCTAAAAGAGCAGCAAATCCCAGGAGGTTTGGCAGCGTTTGTCTATGTGGGAATGGATTTGTGAGAAGATCTTTGAGGAACGCCATGCAATCCTGCCATATTTCGTCCATAGCATCATCATCCAATGTCCTTGTGTACTCCACAAGAAACCAGACAAGATCGGTGTCTTGTAGGGATATTGTCATTGTGGACTTGGATGCAGTGTCTACGGCACCGGCACCAGTCCTCCGGTAGATAGCATTAAACAACGCAGGTATGCAGTGCTTGGGGCGGCATGCCTCTAACGCAGAAAGCATGTTGAAGACCTGGGTTGACTCAGCTCCATCAATTGATTGTTTCCATAAAGCAATGACTGTCTCGAGGCACTGGAGGTTCTCTGCAGCGAAGAGATGTTCGAGTAATCTCCTAGCGCGATTACGCATGCGCAAGGATGTGTAGTTGAATGACCCAAAGGAGCCTTGATCTTGCTTGCTTGAGTCATTGCCTTGACCCCACGTCCAAATCTGATAACAGATACGGACAGCATCCTGGAACGCCAGATGGACCGTCAGTCGGTCATTTGCTGTAGCGCTGCGAGACTGGGGGGTATCTGATTGCCACACGTTTGACACCATGCTTCCAAAGAGAGACTGGGGCTGGTCCGGGCTCTTTACCACCTGTGTACGAGCCTCCTCGTTCAGAAGCTGTTGATGTGCCCGTGCCAGAACCTGCTCAAGGCCATTGAGGAGGAAAATAAGGGTAGACTCAGGTGACGATTTCTCGCTACCAGGAGATAGGGCATTGGAGGAGAAGGTTTCCCGCAAGTTGGTGAAGGTTATACCGATTTCTCTGCAAAGTGTCTCAACCAAGGGAATAAGTACCTGAAAGATAGAATCGGAGTATAGCGGCAAGCACTCGGACACGAAAGCAACCCAGCTATCTAGGACCGGGCGGCTACTGGGTGAGCTGAGACCATCTTGTAGGCACTGAAGAAGTTGAGGCGGTGGTGGTGAGACTATCCGGCCTTCTGGCACTGAAAGTGATGGTCGGCTTCCCCTTGGGTCGAATGAGGATGGCCGTCTTTCAGATATCGGGGAAGTTGGAACGTCAGCCGGGGCCATATCTCTAAGCTTGAGTGTATCATAAACAACGTCAAGCAAAAGAACCTGCACATATCCATCCGAACCTTGGAGAGACTTCTCGAGTCGATCGATGAGTACATTATCAAGGTGCTGAGCTGATAGGGAGGCGGCAAAAGGACTGATGAGAAACTTATGCAGGAGGCTGAGTGCGTATCTATAGAGTTGGTTGACATCGTCTTCAAACTCCTTTGTAGCATTGTCAGGGGCGTTGGCCGTTATGCACCTCATGCATACGCGAATAAAGAACTCTTGTAATGTCATCTCATTTTCTTCACCCCCAGCTTTCATCAGGTCAGACTCAAGTTGCGCATGTGTAAATGGATGACTTACAACTGATTTGCATATGCTGACCATGAAAGGAAACATGTTTGGACGACAGCACAGTCCATGAAATATCTCCAGCGCACGTCAAGATATTTGAAAGTGTTCTGAGGTAGTAAAGACAAAGATCCAGATCCGCATCCTCGGAGAATGACAATGAATCTTGATTGGGTTTCTCGTCATTCTGTGTTAGGGTCTGCAAGAAGGGTACGTCGGATAACCTGGAAATGAATAACAAAAAGAGTCTGGCATTCATTAGTAGTGGTTTCCAAATTATCGCCTGAGACTTACCTATCAATCCCAAGCATCGTGTTGAGCCACGCCTTGACTGTCATATATAAAGGGGTCCGATCATCTTGCAGGGTATCAAGGATAAGAAATACTGGCTGTGTGAGCATAATCTCGTAGTTATCGGCTCCCGCAAGGCGCGGGAGGCCTTTCATATCCTGTGTCGGGGTCTTAGAACCTCGGCGCTCAGGCGAAACATTGTCTTGTAAAGTATGTGACCATAACACACTCAAAGCACGACCTTTGTCAACCGGCTCGATAGCACCTAGAGGAGCGGTCTCTTGTGAGATGATCAGACTGGACAACGCTGCTTCAATATCACGATTGGATGTGGACAGAGCCGACTGCAGTTGCCATAAACCCCTGACTGCTTCAACATGGTATTTTGGCTCAGATGCTGAAAGGTAAGTCCAGGCATGCCGGACCAAGAGAGGTACCAGACTTGATAATTGTGCTGTATTAATCCTCTCAGCATAGTAAAGCTGAGTCGACAGTTGCAGGATAGCCGAGAAGGACAAAAATGCCATGACATCTGGGTGTTCAAGGAGTTCCAGCATGAGTTGCAGGAGTTCCTCCTCTTTGGCTTCATATGTTCTTGGGGTCTTGTGGATCACAAGGACGAGTAATCGAATACAAGCATTGAGATCAGTCTCGGATGATCCCAGATCCTGGCAGACAAACTGAGCAGCCTTTTCTAGGATAGCTCGTCCTATAGTCAAAGCATTAAAGGGGGAGGCAGACGCCTCAATATTACCCTGTTCGTTGACATAAAAGCTCTGCGAATTCTTCAAAATCTCCACGTTTGTCGGCAAACTTTTGCTTGAATTCTCTGGGTCCTTGCTGACCACAGGAAAGACCCTCTCTGGAACAAGCTCCAAGAGTGACATGGCAACGCTAAGGGCTTGAGTAGAAAGGGAGAACATTTGCGGATCCAAATGGTTCCTAGCAGAGACGCGCTCTTTGAAGTCTTGGAGCATAGCCAATGCTGTCAGACAACACAGAGGTGCATGAATTGTGACCATCTCTTCCTCCCGCACGTTGAAGTTGGACAAGATAAAGTTGACAAGGGAGAGTTTATCGTTGCGCTCGGGCGAATTGAGAGCTCCAGGACCTAGAGCCTGGGCAAGAAGTGCGGCAATTTCACCGTAGATGAGGCCGCTCTCGATACCATCGAAGAAGACGCTGGCACTCCGCAAAACTTCACTAAATTCTGTCTTGCTTGAAGCATTGTCCTTGAATCGACGTACGCTCTCGATAATGGGCAGAAAAACTTCAGGGACAACTAAACCGCCAATTTCCCATCGATCCATCAAAGACAGGCATATTCTGTAAGGCTTGGCGCGTTCACTAGCTGTATTATGAGAATTGCTTTCAATCATTTGCAGGATAGCCTTGATCAGGGGTTGCAATCCGTATTCCTCGAAATAGTTGGTCTTTGAAGCCAAGAAGGCATGCTGGTCAGCAGGAGGGCTGGATGGATTGTCGCCGCTGGTTTCATGTTCAGCGGGTGGTTCAGG